ACTAATATACAAGAAGAGCTTATTCCATGAATATTACCAGAGCAGTACATTACTACCAATATGACATTCACTTGTACCCTTAAATAAATTACCTTTGCTTTCTCTATTGCTTCCTCTAAATAATTTTCAGCCTACAATCAATCATAATAAGAAACATACACTGTATGTGATACAATGAAAGCAAAATCATTCTTTTTCACAATAAAAACAATTCTATCCCATTTTCCTATAATAGTCAGTCAGTCAGTTTCCGTGTGAGAATGGGGGTTGATTTCACTGGTTTCCCTCATTCCGTGCGTTCTTATGAGCAATCTAATGTTTACACAAACGAAATTGGAACGACCAAATTTTTTGAGATAACGATGAAACTCGAAACTTGTCTATTCATGCATTTGGTTCTTGTATGAATTAAATGCCAAACACCACTGATATTTGTCATTGTTACTTGTTACTTAAGTAGGACAGAACTGAAACTTACCATGGCAACAATAGTAGATTACCATCTAACAAGGAATACGATATGCTGAAAACAAAGAAAACAAGTTACAGTAATTGTGAGATTTAAAGAAGTAAAATATTACTTGTTTTGACCACCTCAGTAATTTATGTAATCACATGCAATACTAACAGAACAAATATGGTTAATGTGATAGACTCTGAGATGTGGGTCAAATCAAGAAGATTCTGAACAAGGAATGTAAATTAATTTATACAGAACACAACTTATTTCGCAGATAGATGAAAAACCCTGGTAACGTATTGTAGAAACACATCTTCAATAGAAGCGTATATAAACCCAAAATTGGGTTTGTGGCATACTGAAGCATTAAAATATTATTAATACATGTACGTGGTGATCTGATCTGAGTGCCTTGAACACAATTAGAAGAAAGTTAAAAACAACAATGTACTTTATCAGTAGCCAGAGTAGCTCTATGAAATAATGCGTGCATGCTTTTTACTCTCTATAATAGATCCAGCTAATAGATTTTGAAATATGACATCCCAAACAAAAAAGCTATGACAATAATCCAATCACGATTGAATATGGGCATGGATTTCCAAATTTCCTTTCAATCAAAAAACAATTCCTGATCTATGAAATCCTACGTAGTTGGTAAAATAAGAACATACATGTATAGACAGGGGGGGCAACATGAGTATCAATTCTCAACTAGTTGTCAAGATTCCATGCACTATTATAGTTTGGTACCTCCAATGCTACCAGTAAGTTCAGTCAAATCAGTCTTGCTTTTTAATAACTGCTGTGGCTTACCAATTAACATTGTTTTAGTTTCCAAGAACGTTTACTCGTGGATGATCCTGAGACATGCACGTAGAAATATAACAAAGATGTTGATTTTGATGATGAGAACATTGACTACCACTACTGTAATACTTTTTTTTAGAACAAGACCAGCATCTTATCCAGTATCAGTACTGTGAGTTATTAGGGTTTGCTTGAATTTAATTTTCAATGAAAAAAAAAAACACTTTGAATGGCACAACCAAACCAAAATACTGTGAAAGTTGCTATAACGCTGCAATTACATCATTTTAGGCAACTAGAATATCTTCAAAATAAAAAAATAATATTTGATATACCGTAGTATCTATAAAAAACGCTCACAAAAATACAGTGACTTGACCACCAACAATTGCAAAGGAGGTATACAACAATACTTTTAATAATTCTTAAACAAATTTTGGAAAAAA